GGAGGGCGCATGCGCCGCGCGGCCGCTTCCGGCTTCCTGGAGGTCCCCTCGGCGGCGGGGGTGCCCGCAGCGCTGCCTGAGGGAAGCGCGAAGGTCCCCTCCAGCCTGGGCGTGGGGTGCCCGCTGCGGTGCCTGAGGGGGATTGTCACCGCCGCTCCGGGCAGGCGGCACCGCGGGGTCAGCGGCACCCGGGCCCCGAGCCCTCCCTCCGCGTCCCACTCCACAGCCGCCCCCTCCACGTCCCCACTCGTGTCACCTCCTCCATGTCCCCACCCCAGCGTGGCCTCGGCAACCGACACCAGCGCTGGCCGCGATGTCACCCCCAGTTTGGAGGGGAAGCGGCTCGGTGGGCGAGCCGTGAGCCCGGGCCCGTGTCCAGGCAGGGGCACGAGTGACATCCCCACATGGCCCCAGCGATGGCCAGGCCGTCCCCAGCCAGGGGACGCTTTCTGATCCCACCCCAGGGGTACCGGGGCGAAGCCACCCCCCAGCTCCCCCAGGCATGGCTTCCTCCTCCCCCCATGGGCTGCTGCGTCGTGCAGGGCACCGGCATCCATTTCGGGGGGCTCTGGCTGTTCTGAGTGCAGGAGCATGGCAGGGAGCCCAGGGTCACCGGTCCCCAAGGCTGCACCACGGCACCCCGGCTGTCACCACAGCCCGTCCCGCTGGCAGCGCCCTTTGGAGCTGTAAAGCGCTGGCTGGGGTCCCGGGGGAGCCACGGGTCCCACCCTCGGCTGCTCCCCACCGGGCTCACACACCCGAGCAAAGGGCTCGGAACTCGCTGGAGGCACACAAAGTCCCTTTTGTGCCCCAAAATGCCCGGCCAGGAGACAGGGGCCACCTGCAGCCCCCTCAGTCAGGCTCTTGGCCCAGGGAGGGGAGGTGGTGGCCCCAGGCAGGGTGCAATGGGGGGACCGGAGCTGTGTCACCTTAGGGCCACCCTGTGCAATGTCCCCCCATGGACCAGGGCTGCTCCTGCCCCTTCAGAGGTTTGAACAGCCCGGGAGTGACAGGAGCCTGCTCCTCCTGCTGGCAGAGGGGAGATGTCCCCACCGCCCCCCACAAACACCCCAGACCCAGGGGGACTTTGCCACTTGGCACCCCCAGACAGCCCCCCTGGATGGGGAGAGGAGAGGGGAAGGGAGGCTGTGAGAGAAGAGCAGGAGGGGACAGAACCACACAGAGGAGCACGGGGAGGCTGGGGACCCCCCGACACCCGCCGCCGGCCAGGCCACGCAGGGCTCCCGGCTTATTCCCATCCGTCTCCGCAGTCGTGTTTTCACCTTGTGCGACCAAGGAGTCATTACGCTGGGCCGGCGATTGGTTGGCTAAAAATGCCTCCCTAATCTCCACGCTGATCTTTACCCCCCTCCTCCCCATCTGCCGTGACCTTCCTGCCGATGTACGGAGCCAGCCCCAGCGAGAGGCAGCCAGCCCCGCTCCGTCAGCGTCCCCACGTCCCAAAGGTACCGGCCATGCGGCTCCCGACGGATTTGGGGCTGACTCGGCTCCCGGCGAGGCGGGAGGTTGGCGTTGGTGGGTTGGCCGGGGCTTGCCGTGGCAAAGGTTGCCGGCATACGGCGGGTGACAGTGTCCCCAGGTGGCAGATGGGATGCTGGGGCCTCGTGACGGTGCTGAGGTCACCCCAAGTCCTCTCTGGTGGTCCCTGGATGAAATGGGTGTCCCCCCCCGCCCCGTGCTGGTGGCTGCTTGCTGGGAAATGAAACCTGCTTCAGCAGAGAAGCTCCCTGACCCATTTTAAGCGATTTCCAAACTTCTGCCGGGTTGTGCCACCCGGGGCTCGCCGTTCACCTCGGGTTCCTCGACAAATTTCGGGTTCACCCGTTTTTCCTGGCCTCACAGCATCTCTGGCAGGGTGGGAAGGCAGGGTGGGTCCCTGCCCAGCTGCCTGCACCTCCCGGGGAGCTGGGGTCTGGTGTGAAACAGCAGCAAGGGGGGGGTCTGGCAGGGGTCTGGCAGGGGACAGAACTTCTGGGGGCTCACAAGACGTGGCACCGTGGGGCTGGTGGGATGTAGCACGCGCCAGCCCTCACACAGACCCGCTCTGCACGCTGTGCCCACCGCCCCCATAGCCCAACCAGGCACCCACTGCACCCAGGGGTCCCGGGGGGCTTGCGGGGTGTGTGTGTGTGTGTGTGTGTGTGTGTGATGCTGGCCCCACACACTGACCACAGGGCCAGGGGACGTCCCAGAGCCACGCTTGCCCTGCCAGGCTGGAGGCTGGCACCGCTGGCACACCAGCTGCTCTCAGCTCCGGGCGCGGGGTCCCTCCAGCCCTCCGTGGATGTGTAAGGGAGGGCTGGGACCCCAGCCGGGACAACCTGGGGAGGTGGGGGGCTGAGAGCAACCATGCTCATATTCAACCCCCCCCCTCACTGGGACACATTCAGCATTGTCTTACCCAGTGAGAAACAGGCTCCTGCCCCAAGCCCTGTGGCCGAAGGGGTTCAGCCTGCACCAGCACCCCCTGTTCAGCTCCTGGGTGCTCTGGGGGTCACAGCAGAGCCCCCCCAGAGCTCCCTAATCCCGTCAGCTGCAGGGGCACGGCTGGGCACCGCGATGCTGGAGCAGCTGGCAGGGAGCTGAGGCTCTGCAAGATGGTTTAGGCTGAGACTAGGCACTGCCCGGGGGGGCTCTGCTGTCCCAGCTGCAGGCAGGGACCAATGCTCACCCCGCCCCAGCCCACCTTTGCCCCCAGGGTGTGAGCTCTGGAGGGACACAGGGCAATAGAGCTGTGATTTTTGGGGTTGCACTAGCGTGAGCAGGGTGCTTAGAGGGACCTCTGCCTGCCCTGGGAAGCCAGAGGGAGCAGCGGGGTCCCTGTGGGGTGTGTGGGGCTGGGGGATGCTTGTACCCACCCAGGGGCTGTGCCTGTGTGTTTTGGGGTGCCCAGGCAGAGCTGGAGGCTGTTGCAGCCCCGGGGCAGGAGGGGCTGAGGGATGCAGCACGTCCCAAAGCGCCTGGAGCTGCCTGGTGCCATCCTGGGGCTTTGCTACCATTTTATTGCCTCGTTTCTTCCTCTCTGGGGAAACAGGGATGGAGTTGGGAGGAGGAACCTGCCCCCGCAGGGCAGCCTCTGGGATGCTGCGACAACTGCAGCAACCCCCAGGAGAAATGCATCTCCTGGCTCACCCCATAGAGCAGGAGAGCTGCATTTGCCCACCTCGTCCTGCCGTGCTGCCCGCCTCTGCCTGCATCTCCTCTTTGCAGCTCTTGCGCCTGCTTTGGAAATGGCAAAGCAAGGGCTTTGCTAAACGGATTAGAGCTTCCCCGGCAGCCTCTTGGGCTGCTCCTTCTTCCCTCATCCCCTGCACCGCCTTCCCCGGGCAAACCCCATCCCTAAGCCAAATATTTGGGCCAAGACCACTGCCACAGCACCGCTGGCCTGGCTGGGGGAACGCACCACCAGCCCCAAACAAGGACTCGGTGCCACACTGCGGCTCCCACCACGCCTGACCCCAAAACCCCAGCTGAAGGGTCCTTCCCACCTCCTGGGATTTTGTGTTCCCTTTGTAGGAGTTCAGAGAAATCTGGGGAATTCTTCAGCCACTGGCTTGGCCTCTGCTGATGGTGCTGACTCTGCCCTGGGATCTGTACCGGTCCATGACCCCCCCCAGCTGCCGCTGGCCCCCTCCTGTTCCACCTCTCCCCTGGGTGTGCGGCTGCCGGAGGGGCTGCAGCAAGATGAGAGCTGGATTTAACTGTAAAAGGATTGAGGAAGACAAGCCTGGGCAGCTGGCAGGCATCGATTTATGACGTGCACAGGGGCAGGGCGAGAAAGGGAAGGGAACATCAGCGTCGGCAAAGCGTGTCTGCGCCGGGGACACGTCCTGCCGCGAGCCAAAGACTGGGTTTGGCTCTCTATGGGATCCCCCTTGCTGTGTCCTTCATCCTGGTGGTCCCCATGGCCATACTGGGAGGTGATGCTGGGATGGAGAAGGTATGG